CCGAGACCCAGCGGCAGCTCCTGGTCGGTGAGCAGAGCAGCGCTGGCATTTCAGGGTAACCGGAGACAAGGGGACCCAAAACCCCGACTGACCCCGGGCTGGGACAGCAAACCCTGCTCTCCTGCCCAGCAGTGACTGCTCTGCCAGCACGGGGCTGCTGCCAAATCAGCCCTCTGCCCCCTCCCAGGGGGACAGACCTGCTGTGGCACTTTCCTGTAAATGATGAGAGATGTGGTGGTTTGCAGACGAGACAAGAATAGGAGCTTAATTTGCCAGGGAATAGATCTTCTAAACTAAGCTCCTCCAGCACTTAGAATAATTGTTAAAGGTCGTAAATTCAGCAGATAGGGCACGAAGCGTGAATCATTCCATGGGGTCTGAATCAGAAATCGATAGTAAATTTGCTGCCTGAGCACAAAACATGGCAGGGAGGAGTAATTCCCCAAGCCTTGCAAAATTTTTATGTATCAGAAAAGAAATGTCACTTTGCAGTGGGTTTGTAGATGAGTCTGGGTGTAGGAGATGTTGCTCTTGTGCTGCTTGTGTGTTTAAAGGGGTGAGAGGTGACTCTGTGAAATGCTGGGAGCAGGTAGTGACTCAAAAATCTGGCGATTTGTTCCCAGCAGCAGGGAAAGGAAGCGCTCAGGACACTTATCTCTGAGTTTGAGTCACTGAAATGTTCCAGGAGGCTGAGGCTTACGAGCCACAGGCAAATCTGTGTCAGAAAGGTCAACCTCTGCCTGCCAGTCTGGGCAGTCCTTTGCTTTGGCTTCCCTCCTGCTGTCCCAGGGAAGGGAGGTGTATTTGCAGGATGGCAGCGTGCTGTTGTGAAGGCTGAGCACAAGCAGAACCCTGCACACCATCATTCAATTCAGTTTGCCACTGCCCACGGGCTTATGGGGTGGGATTTATAGATCTGGGCTGGAAGGTGACATAGGAGGTGGCAGGAGCTCCCGTTTTTGCCACACTGCAGAGTTTATTTTGGCCACACAGTCAGGCTCCACCGCAGCAGTGCATCTGCTTGATGTGCTGGAGGCTGGGCCAGGAACAAAGCACTGAGTTCTGATTAAAATGCACGGCCTGGTGCATCGAGTAAGTGCACTTGGGGCTGGCTCCTGCCTTCTCTGTGACACGTTTCTATCCATCACTGGGCACCGTGCTCATTGCCGTGGTACCCAGCAGTGCCCCTGTGGGTGCAGAGGACTGAGTGTGCCAGGATAGGAAGGATTCTTAAACCAGAAATTTTCCAGCGGTGGTGCTGGTAATGAGGATCGTTAATGTAGCAGAAAACTGTAATTTAAAACAATGAGGCCATCGAACAGGTAGCGCTGCATATTATACTGACAAGGGGATAAGATAAATTACATTATAATGTTCTTTTGTGTGGGCAAGGAGATATTTTTGCTAGTCCACTCAGCATGTTTAATAGCCGGATGACCTGGCAGTGCTATTAGCAGAATAATGATGAACATGGGGATTCGCACAGGCTGTTGACAGGCACGTTGGAGAAGCAGATTTTTGCAATAAAATGAGAGAGTGTGAGGAGGGATGCAGTGGGCCATGGTCTGTGGTGGGAAATGCACAGCTGATCCCAATAGGAGAGAGCAGAAAGATGGGGCTGGGTTTGGTGGTTTCTCCCCCCTTTTTTTTTGTCTCAGTGAATGCAAGAGCCTGTCATCTCTTGCTGAAGGCAGTGGCCTTGATCCTTCTCAAATATTCAGGTCAATAGCTTTTCCTCTGCTGCATCCATCTGCAGGGCTGGGCCTCTGGCTGATGTACTCAGCAGTGGCACTGGGCTCTTCTGCAGTAGCTGCCACAGCTGGATTCATCCGAGTTGCTTTGCAAGGTGTGTGGGAGGTTTTAAAAGATCTCAGGGAGGAAAACCTTTCCAGGGAGCTGATAACCCCTGGGTTGGGTCTGGCTTGGGGCCAGCAATTCCTCTTGCTCACAGCTGCTCCTTGTCTTGCAGGCAGAGGCTCACCTGGGATGTTCAGCTTGGCTGAGGGTTTCCTGCAAGGCAGGGAATTTAGAAAGAGCCTTTTTAAGGATGAAGCAAAGCATCTTCGTGTACCTGGATGTTGCTTTTGTTTTGAACTCATTAACAAACACCAGGCTTTTGTTATTTACTTTGGTGAAGTGCTGACCATGCACTCTCTGGCAACTGTATCCTAAAATCGTTTATTGTTTTGGAAAAGCCTGGCCTTTAATGCTCAGGCTTGGAGAGGAGACAGCGCAGAATTTAAGGAGCCGGTGAATATTAGCTGTTGCTGGGAAGAATTGGATGAAACCCAAAAATGTCACTACTCTTCCTTTAGCTTGCTTTGTATAGAAGTGAAGTTTCAGTGGCCCTTTGTTTGCATTAGTTGATCACTGTCAATGAAGATAAAAGCTGACATGTTAAAAACCCACAGAACTCAAACATGCTGGCATTGTCCTGTTTCTAGAACTCTGTCAGTTTATGGCGTATTTCAGCATCATTAAAGATTTAGGAGGAGCTCTATTGTGGGATAAGCGCTGCAAGCCACCACTCAGGAGCATTACTCTGGTAGCATTATTTTAGGTTTCTTCTTCCAGCACCTTTTTAAAAAAATTCTATAGCTCAACAGAATTTGAGCAGCTTTTGTAAAGGTCACCTTCCTAAATAGAAAGAGGAACAAACTTGACTGGAGATTACTTTTAGAGATTAAAAAAAAAAAAAAGATATGAAAAGCTTATTTTGCTGTGTTGTACATGATAATGCTACTTTGCAAAATTTGGGGGAGAGGTTCAACAAATAAATATATACATTCATAGTTCCTGAGGAAAGACACTCTCAAGAGTATTCTATCAAGGACTTAATCTGTCCTCTTCCAGTGTCATTCAGTGCACGTGTAAGATATGGACCATGACAGTATCCATGTGCTTTTTCTATTTTGGAGTCTGTTGAGTTCAAAACCATAAAACTTTGCAGCAGCATACTGGTCTCTGAATCACAGAATCATAGAATAGTTTGGGTTTGAAGGTACCTGAAAGCTTATCTAGTTCCAAAACTCCTGACATGGGCAGTCACACCTTCCTTTAGACCAGGTTGCTCCAAGCACTGTCCAACCTGGCCTTGAACAATTCCAGGGATGAGGCATCCACAGCTTCTCTGGGCTTTATGTTGCAGTACCTTACTACTCTCTGAGAAAATAATTTATTTCTAACATCTAATCTAAATCTTTCCTCTAATTTAAATCATCCCAAAGGGATGGCAATGTCCAACTCCATTCCTTGAGCCATTAGTACAAATGTATCCTTTATGCACCAAATGCATGTTCTTGTGGGTGCTCATGAAAAGTTACAATGGGAAAGGGTCTGTCTTCTGGCAGATCTTTCCCTGGGGTGGACTGTATTCTTTTCTCTGCCTTTTGGAGTTGTGCAGCCCAGCAGTTACTTCAGTTACTCTTCAGCACTGATCTCCCTCACCTTTGCAGTTCTTCCACAACGCAGCAGTGGTGGAAAACACAGTGTATGGTCTTTTTGTAGGCATGGAGAGTTCTCTGTTCCCACTAGTGTTCCTTTGCTGGGCAGCCATAACAATTAATAATTTGGAGTGAATTTATATATATGCTTGAGCAGGCTGAAGTTCGAGCACAAGCACTTTGAAGCAACAAAGAACATTTGATTGGTGTGCATATTTAAAATAAAGGGTCTGTTTTTAATCTATGTGACAAGCAGGAGTTAGAGGAGGTTTTTAACCTTGCTACCTGAAAGTACTTTTTATATGCCAGGCTTGTTGATGTAGTGGTACAGTCCGTATGGAGTGAGGGAGGAAGCAGTTTCCATTTGATCTGAATGTAAATCCCCATGGATGAATCAGCCAGCTGTGGAAGAGATGTCCTTGGAAACCATCATTCATGTGAGGCCAGGTCAGGTGAAAGCTCCTGGGCTCAGGCTCTGAGCTGCTCCCTGCAAACCCTTGCCTGCCTCCTCCTAATGCACCCTTACCCTTTACAAGGGTAATTACAGACACCAGTGGGAGTTCTGTGACTCTGACCTGCAGGCCAAGGACGCGGTATTGATCCCTGTCTCATTTCTTCATGCCTCATCTAAAAAAGGGGTAGAATCCTGCTAGATTTCCCATGCTTCCCCAGGGAAAGCTACCAGCAGGCAGAAGGGTTCATGGTGTGGCAAAACAGCTTTGGCAGAAACTCTTGTGCCGTGGGGTGTGGAGAATGGTGTTGAGGGTTCAGGACCTACCACCTGAAAGCAGCTGCTTGCCCTGGGCTGCCAAGGGAGCACACATGCTGTTTTCCCTTGCTGCCAGCTACAGGAGACCAGGAGCCTCGTGGAGCGAAGGGCAGACTTGCATTTGCTCT